ACAAAAGCTTTGAAATCGATAAAATCTGAATTTTTTCGCGATTTAGGCCTGCTACTGAAAATCCGACACCAGAAACTTACAGTGTGGTGTTCAGCAAATAACCTCCGTCAGAAGGAAAAAAAAATGTATGTTTAAATTCAAATAAAACGTAAATATATTTCAAACCTTACATTTTCAATAGCCGTGATAAATTGTTCAATAAAAAAAAAATAAAAAGTTCTGGATGACTTGTATTGACCTTAAGTAGCCTCAGAAGGCTGCTTAACATCATATTTCGATGCTAGGAAATTTTGGTGAATTTTCTTCCTTTCCGTCATGAAAACTAATCTGTTTTGTCATCACCTGTTTATGTGCAACTTCATTCCAAAGTTTGACCTTTAGCGCTTTTCCGTATTATCAGAAAAGCGCTTTACAGAATTCTTTTTAAATCTCGTAATATAATCTTCATGATGTACTTAACAATGCCTGGAACTTTCATTAAGATTGCTTCACTGAAACACTTTGAGATTTTAAGACGAACCTAGCAAACGAACCGGATAAAAATCTGCGTTACAACATTCACTGTTTTGACTTTGTGCTATTTTTGCCAAATTGATGCCCATTATACACACCTCCATGGCTAGTACATTTCAATGTGGATATTGTCAATGTTTTACTTTCAAAATATGTAATAAAGTTTTTATTGTCCTTATTATTGTTGGTTTTTTGCTGAACACCCCACTATAAGTTCCTCAGTGTCGAATTTTCAGTAGCAGGTCTAGATCGCGCAAAATTCGGAATTGTCGATTTCAAAGTTTTTTTGGTTATTGCTGTCATAGTGATATCGATTTTACTCCAATTCATAGTGAATCTGACGAATTTTGTAGGGATCGGACAAAAGGATAAAATCACTTTTAAGATGATTGAAAAACATGTTTGGTCTCCGATAAACTGTATCGAAACACCTGAAAGGCATGGTACTGAAATTACTACAAGCAGCAATAATTGATTCCAGGAATATTTGGGATTAATTTTTTCTATGGTTACCAGTCACGTGACTCTCTAGTAGCCAGTTATAAAACAAAACTCCCAAAAGTTTTTTCTTCATAAGTATGTAACCTGAAACTGTGATACTTTGCAGAAATACAGTGCACATAAAAATGAAGAACTTGTCCGATTTGAATTCTCAAATTTTCTTTCTTGTGACGTCACAACTGATGACGTCGTAAAATAGGCTTTTTGGTCATGCGCAGCACTAATCCAAAAAAATTAAGAATTTAAAACAATAACCTAAGAAAAATACAACAGCTTTTATGTTTGAAGAGATATTGGTAACATTCCATGCATATTTTAAAAAATAGTTTGGACAGATTGGTGGCCGATTTTTAGCACTTTTTCCCTCAGCGTGTATACGTGCTGAGTTTTAAGTCTTCCCCCTTTGTCACACGTCTGTTATGACTGAACCTGGAAAATTGCAATTTAAAAAACAATACAGACCGTATTTCCGCGAAAAATAGCATGGGGCAATTATTTATTCTTTCACCCCTGAAGGGGACCATTATTCAAGGGAAGGTTATTATTCGAGGGACGCGGATATTTCAAATATTGTTACCTGTCCTCACTGGAAGTCTTGCCCCAAACATCCTGTTTTATTATACCTTTAATTAAAAAAAAAGAATAGTCACATGCTTATTCTCGGCGTAGGGGGTTGAATCGTCACTGATCGGTTTTTCTTGATCAGACTGCACTTCAGCTTCATCGTTTAGAAATAGAAGATGGCGACAAGGAAAAGAGCTAGGAGGGGGGATTATTCGAAGGAGGTAATCAATCGAGGTACGGCTATTTTTTTGAGGAAATACAGTCATCACAAATTTAATTTACAGGCTACCTTTTGCACTAAAGGCAAACGACAAACATTATAGACAGCCTTAGCGGGTGTAAGTATAGGTAATCACATGCATGATTTCGAGTGCAATTTGGAATAAATAAGCACGAGTAAATTTGTGCACTTTGTGGTCTTTGAAAATTTACAAGCGCTCATTTATTCCAAATTGCACGAGAAAAATCATGTGATTACTTATTAATAATATACACGAAAAACATAACTACAACAACAAATTTTGACAGTGCGCGCGTTTTTCAACCTCGCCCCAGGGCTTTTCCCTCAAAAAAATGGGTGGGGCGTGAAAAGGAATAAATAAGCCCGGGCATCGGCTGGTCACGTGTACAGCCTAAATATTCCTGAGAAGCTAATTTTCGCTGACAGAACGGAGTAACAATTGAAAATAATAACATCGCGAACTATGTCAATATTTTCGCGTGTGTGCGATTCAAAAGCTTAAGATCCATTTAATTGTGCATTATTCAAATGCTACAAGTTTATAAAAGGGCGTACCGGCTCTACGTTGTCACGTACAAAATATGTCAAATGCTTCAGCGTTGAGACAAGGTGTTATCGACTAGTACTTCGCCTAAACTTCATCGGACTGTGGAATTACTGTACGATCAAGTGGAAAGTGATAGAGTACTAAAATGATGACGTCATAAAAAAGAAATTTCTGAAATTATGGGATTTGTCAGGATATTTTGAAACAAAAATCTCCAAGAGGCCTACTTACCAAAAATGAGCATTTCGAGGCAAATTGTCTCTGAGATGTTAGCCGGTTATACTCAGAAAACTCCATACAAACCCTTCTAAATTGTTTTTGGGTCGACCCAAGAACTATTTAGAAGGGTTTGTATGGTGTTTTCTAAGCATAACTGGGCTACGAATTTAAACAAATTGAACTTAGTTGAAATAGAATTGTTCATCAAAATGCTTTATGGAGACTGGTCCTCTCTACAACCCGACCATGAAACAAACAAATCTCCGCGCCGGATGCAAGTCAACCCTCCAGCCAGACACATTTGAAGATCTCTTATATCTTTTCTCTTCCGAGGATAAGTACAAGGGAATTTCCTTATATTAAAGAGAAGATTGTCTGATCGATTGGAATCAACTACAGCTTTGTTACCAGTCGTTTGATCGCAGAGGTCAATGATTTTTTTAAAAATAGGGGTCACACTGGATAAGTCTAAACCAACGCGTGTCGCTTTGATATTGCTGAGAGTTACGCTGAATAGAACTAGGCTGTTTAGGGCGGCCCACTTCGCAAGAAATGAAATAAAATATCAGAAGAGGCGAGAAAGCGGACTTTTCCAGTACAACCTTTATGTATGTACGATAGCTTGTTTGTCATTTATACCCCGTTATAAACAGGAGTTTTACAAATGTTACTCGCTGTCCCCTTCATAGAAATCGGAGGAAAGCAAAAAATTACCATATCCAGTATCTGTGACCAAAAGAAAACCTTGTAAAACTTATCGTTAATCGTTAAGAGATATAAAAGGTCGCACAAGTTTCCGCGCTGTGAGGTAACGCATAATTTTAGCTTTTCACATGGCCGTAATTTATTACACCCAGGATTTTAGGGTGTACGAGGAGACACGTGACCAGTCAATGCCAGGGTCTTTTCCTGCCCCACCCATTTTTTGAGGGAAAAGCCCTGGGGACGAGGTTGCCCGTTTTTAGTTCATTCAACTGATTGGCTGAAACAGACTACTACCTTTGTCAAATTCAAACTTTTTCAAGACCAACGCTTTCAAAATCATTTCAGCTAAGGACTTGGAAATGTGCAAGGATTGATTTTATATGGTCACCAGCCTTAAGATAACTTGGTTTACAATAATCAGCAAAAATAAGTGTTTTTAAATTCATCCTCAATTATGAGAGCTCAGTGTTTACAAGAAGCTTTAACAAGAAGTATACTTCTGTTTTGAAACCAGGATAACGCTTCGCGCAGCCAAAGATGAAAGACACTTGCTAAGGTTTTTTAACGACAGTTCATCATTGTCTGTTCCTGAGACCACATCTTAGCTGGATTCATAGAGAATTTTTTTAGATTTAAGACCCGAAAATGAAGGAGGCAATTTGTTTTCTTTCGACGCTGCGATCGATGGGTGAGTGGAGCCACAGTACAGTTGTTGTGATGTCGCAAACTGCCAGTATTAATATAAAATTTGCTTTCTCTCAGCGCTTGGGTTTTCATTATTTCATTTGGCCTACTGCAAGAGTCATCGTAGCTCTTCTTCGTCGGCTTCATCGTAGTCGTTAAGGAAATTTATACATCTGAAGCCTGTTCTGAACTTACAATCTTTGCTTTGTTAACCTTCCTGACTGTTTTTTTTCTTGCACAATGATTCGTAAACTTTTTTCTCAATTTCTTTAGGCTAGTACCAGCTACGGATACATTCATTATGTTAGTTATGGTCTTTTCGCCCATTGGTTCAGTTTCTTTCAGTGCTACTGAGGTAGAAAAAAAACAGACCATCGCATGGGTGTTTTAATAGAGGTCTTCACTCCACAAAATAACTCAAAGACAGCAACCGGACACCTTTCTCCTCCAACAAATAACGTACGTGACTTGAAATCCCTATTATTATCATTGAAAACTTGTATCCTTGTTCATTTAAATGCCTGAAAAGTGTAGCTGTCATGGTTTGCGTGTGATTGCAACCGTTTTTGTTCTTTATTTTTATTACTTTAGCGTAGTCTGTTATAAGTAGCTTGTTTTTTAGTTACTCTGGTTTATTTTCCTCGATTTTTCTCTTAGCAACGCATTTTCAATACATTTAGCCAGAAAAACGTACTTTTTCCTGTGTTCGGGTTTTTGGAATATATATTTTTTAACTTTTCTGTTGTTGTTTTGCGTACAAAATTAAATCGCGTCGTCGTCTGCTGAACACCATGGCCATTTTCTTGAATTCTGTTGCTAAAACAGCTCTAATCTGATTGGTTCCTGGTGGTTTCTTTTGTGTTTTCAGCCAATCAGAAGCCCTGTGTAATTTTCACTCGTGTTACAAGTTTGCACGAGTGTTACAGAAGAACTGCACTCTTTTCTTAGAATTGAGTAATTTTTTCGTGTATATTATTAGTGGAAAAACTAAAAAAGCCTATTTTTTGTACCTACAAAAAAAAAAAATTACCTGTTACTCTTTTTGCATCCGATCAGAACAGCAGCAATAATGATTAAGAGTACTCCACCGCCTACCGAAGCGCCGATAATAACGTTGGTTGGTTTTGACTTTCCGTCGTTTTCTTTTACTCGCTCCGTGCCAGATGGTAAACGATTGACACTTAAGATTTCACCTCCAATAGATTCTTGAATGTTTTCTTTATGGCTTATCACGATATCACGTAATACTCTCTCAGAGACGATACTGCTTTCCGAAATCCCTCGTGGAAGACTCAGGTAAAAAGCCAATAGGACTAGACCGGGAGTTTCGTCTGACTGTTTGGGATAACCAGGCAGAATGTGAACCATGTCAACCGTAAATCTGACGTTTTCAGACGAGCGCCTTTGTCTAAGAAAAAAAATATAAAAATAATGATAAGAAAAAAAAAACTGCATAGAAAAAACGAGAGGATATATTTAGGCAAGTTCATTAAAAAAGTAAAAGTTAAAAACTGGCAAATGGAGATGTTGAAGATGATGATGACCAATACCAATACTCCAAGGTGCGTTTAGACGGGCAAATTCTATTTGAATCTTGAAAGAAAAACTTGCAGATTCAAAAATACCCAGATACGTGTGGAGTGGGCAAAAAAGTCAAATTACAACTTTGCTTTAAAAGAACGGAAATAAGAATGAGGAACCTTACGAAAGACTTCGGCAAGGATTTAAAGGGAGAAAATGTTCAATTTCTTTAGTGCTTGTTGGAACACCAACATGGCCGCTGTTTGACCAACATGACGGACGTGACGTTATGTGAAAAGCTCTACATTACTTACGACACAAAACTATAATTTGTGGCAATATAATAATTTAAAATGTATTTCATCGCCGTTATTAAAGGGTAAAAGCTTTATATGGATTTTCATTTCAGGACAGTAAATTTTCAAATTTTTCCGGCCGAGTAAGTCTCCCGATAACTGAAACTGCGATTTTAGAAGACTTAGCCTGGAGGGCCATGTCATACATCCCAGCGGTCAGGCTCACAACACCGGTTTAAAAAAAAAAATATTCAACGCTTCCCCGCCAACAAGCTAAATTTGTACATGTTTGTAGTAAGAACATCAGTGATCCTTTCATACCCCAAAGTGTTTTACATGCCGGTGCTTTAAATCTGTTAAACATCGAATTATTTTAAATCCAATTGTTTTCAGTAATTAATTTGGGAAATCATTTGTATCCTACAAACAAAAATAAACAAAATATTCACCTTGACTGGTTTGGATAACACCGAACATGAGTACAATATTGGCTCGCCGCTGCTGCAACCTCTCTTTTGAAAGAGAATTCCATGTTTTGGTCCCACTGAAAAACAGTAACAATGACATAAAACATCGGGAATGAGTAAAAATTTAGAGATATTCATTATTTACATCTGTTATATTATAATAAAAATACCTTTCGTATGTCCATATGTTTGACCTTCATTATAACTGATTCTCTCATCGCTTGTTCCAATGGCGTTTGTTTTTGGACTATGTTAGTACTTGGTTTAAGCGTTATAAGCGATGAACCATCTACAGTCGGCGTTTTAGAGGCATTTTTTTCGGGTGAATTAGTGCTTGGTGGTAACGTTGAACCGGCTGAAAGATGTAAAGTAAGGAAACATTAAAGCTAGAACACGTTTATTCCAAAAAGAAAATAGAAAAAAGAATAAACGCAAAAAAAAAAAAACCTTTAAGCCTCAAAGTTTTTTGTTTTTTAATACCACAACATGGCCCGCGACGTTTCAGTGTTTTGGCACACCCATACAGCTGATGTTATGCCATGGGAAAGCTATGTAAGAAATAATATTGTACATTTATAGCTAATTAAACGTTACAGCTGATTAAACGAGACCTTAAAAACGTTATCACAAATTTATGTCAGTTGGCCTTACAATCAGGAACAGACAAGTTGGTCTGCGTCCATAACATAATATGACTGACAAATAATAATAATAATGATTATGATTGCCATTATTATTATTATTATTATTATTATTATTATTATTATTATTATTATGCACAAGCCAGAATTTAAGTAGTAACTTTTTATCAGTTTGAATTATTATTTTTAAATAGTTTTTATTTTTTTTAATAAACTTTTTTATGCTTTTTATAATTGTTATTAGTAGTCTTTAGATAGTCATTTTACGACAATTCTCTTTCGTACACAAGAAGAATGTACATAGGGTATATATTTTAATATTTCATATTCTTCAATCTGTAAATACTCTATTTTTTTAAATCTATGAATAAAGTTTTGTATCGTTTTACCTACAGATCGAAAATATCAGAGCCTGCCCGAATTAATCTTTTTTTTTTTTAAGGATCTTTTTTAGAGAATTAGGAATTTTAGGAATACGAGATTTTATCCTTTATACCTTGTTTTATTTTAAAATCAGAGACTGCTAATTCTCTTTTGTAATGACTTAATTTAAAACTGTGGACTGCCTGCAAGAGTCATTGACCACTTCTCAGCCGCAAGGAATGTATTTGCGAAATCGTTATTGACAAAGTGATTGCTATTTTTGTGATTTATAATTCTTAATGTTATATAGTGCTTAATTCTTACACCCTGTACTTCAATTATTTCTGTAAATTATGTACATATTTTTGTTTTTACAGTTCAATAAAATTATTCTTATCAATTATTATTATTATTATTATTATTATTATCATTATCAGTATTATTATTATTATTATTTCTAATTCGCACAGGTGTTCTTTGCCCTGGAAACAAAAACATTTCCTACTTTTAGTCTTAGACTTTAAGGACTTTTCTCAATATCGCGGCTGTTCCACGAAGTGCAGACTTTTGCAAAGTTCTGATACTCTTTGGAATTCCAATTTCCTTCAATTCGAACGCTGTAAGTTCTTCGGTATAACTCCCAGAGCTCCAACAACGACTGTTATTATTTTCTTCGCCCTCTAACGTCTAGTCATTCCCTAGCTAAGTCTTGATATTTTCATGTATCTCTTTCTATTTTCCTTTGCCTTCAACGTTGCTGTCGCCAGGTACCACACCTATGTCTATGGTGAGGAATTTGTTGTTCTTCTTCTCATGCGCAGTTCTGTCAGGCTGCCAGTGAGTTATCTCACGCTCGGTTTGTATTGTAAGATCTGATAATATTTTCACTTCGTTATTCTCAGTTATCACTGCAGGGATGTGTTCGTACCACTTGCTACTATATGGGAGATCACAAACTTTACAAAGTTCCTAATGAAAAACCCTGGTCAATGTGTCGTGCCTCTTTTTGTAATCTCTTTGGGCAAGCTTGGTGCAGCCACATACTATGTGTTATTATAATTATAAATCTAAATTATAATTATCATAAAAAATATCCGAAGATCCTTTGAGGAACTTTCCAAAAAGCTTCATAGCTTTGACAATTTTATACAAAGAAAAATGACAGGTCATAACAAAATAACAATTGACATGTCACGTGACTGTTGCCAAATTAGGTTTGTTTTTTTTGTTGCCGTGAAAAGATTTCATTACCGAAATAAAAACAAATAGCACATTTGGGGTTTTGGTTGTGTGGGGCATTTAAAAATAACCATTTGACAACTGGCATTGATAATTTAAGGCGGTAATAAACATGAGCGGAAAAGTCGGGAGACTAGGACTAGGTAGAGAGTCCACGTTCCATCACACGCCAATAAAAATTCGCCGAAAAGTAATGTTCTCCTGATAATTTTCCCATAACCAAAAGAAGGGCATGACGTCATCAGTCACGTGATCAAAGCGCTTTGAATGTCTTAGCTCGTTTTTAAAGTACCTTTTTTGTCATAAATTGGCAAATTTTTGTTGTTTTTCTCTACAAATCGCTATACTGTTTTGTCTCTAAATAATTATTATTCCATTTATAAAGCAGAATTAAGCAAATAAACACTAAGCCAGAAGTTTATAAGTTGCGCAAATTGACCGATATTGCAAGTTAAAATCGAAAAAGAGACCTACTTTGGAGACTTTTTTAAAATATCTTCTCAACTGAACAGTTTGTTTGCAGAAATAAATGTTAAACGTTTGTTAATAAAATGAACTTCAAAAGCCAAAAGGACGTATTTGGCGGCCACATTGGTTTTCTTCATTCCGGGAAGAAAGGTCATGTAGCAGCTCTTCTAACCCTAAAAGCCAAAGGGTCTGGTACCCCTAACCTAATACTTAACAATTAGTTCATGCGTCAGCGTGCGTATGTCGAGATATTGAGCACGCGGGAAGTTTGGAGAGCACGAAAGAGGCGTAAGAGTTGCACGAGGCGCAGCCGAGTGCAACTCTAGCCTCTTGAGTGCTCTCCAAACTTCCCAAGTGCTCAATATCTCGACATACGCACAGCTGCAGCATGAACTAATTGTTTTATAACATTATCAAAGCGATCAATGCAGCAGTTAACTGAAAATTTTATTATTGAAGGGCGCGCTCAAAGCAGTACGCGTCAATGTTTACGTGAATATATCTTTTTTCCTCACAGTTAATCTTATGTTTTTATCCTGAAACTGAGAGAAAGTGTACTCTAAAATGATTGTAAAATCCATATTTAGGTGTCGGAAAACTATTAATTTCCCGAAAAATTGTTATTGAGAGAAAACAACTTTGCAAAGAATGAGCTCACGCCATAGCCCGCACAGCTCGCGGAGATGACAACAACAACAACAACACTCACCTCTTTTCCTTACTATCGGTTAACAAATTCAAACGTTTCCTCTTAAATTTCTTTACAAAACACATGGTAAACGCTTCATTGTCTATTGCTGAGTTATGGATTCACTCAGGAGACTCAGGATTGCTAAGCTCACAACAACTCGAGGAATTACGAATAGTTTATTGACGTCATCAGCGTGCTCAATAGGAATATGAAGCACGCTCGCGCTATTGAATTTGATTAGGCGAATTTTCTAGCTATGTTATAAAATGGAAATAATGATAAACAATGTTGTGTTCAGTTATTCTCCGACCGACGAAAAGACACCTTAAAAGCAGAGAGAATGGTACCGTTCAGTCGGGAGTGAGTCGGAAGCCGCACGATCTATATTGGTCTAGTGGATAGGAACGCTGATCTCCAGATCTAATCAGTCCTGAGGGTCCGGGTTCGAATTCCTTTGAGGTAAATGTTTCGTAACCGTCTCTTTCGCCTTTGATGTTCTCGACAAGATGACGTATCCTTTATGAGTGGTGACGCTCCTGGAGACATGTGATGTCACCAAGCATGGTCGCCATTTTGGCCGCCATCTTGGAGTTTTCCAAGAAGCTTTTTAAAGAACTGCCTCAAAGGGTTCTAGGATAATTTTCATGATAACTATAATTTACTTTAACAATATTAATTATTGTTATTATTAGTAGTAGTATTAAAAATAAAAATGAAAAAAACT